ATTATTTTTAAAAAAAAGCTTTCGATTTTTTGTTTTTTTTTAATTAAAACCTCTTTGGTTTTCTTTTTTGGGTTTTTTTAAGGGGTTTCTTTTGGGGGCAAAAATTTGTTTAACCCGCCCCGGATGGCTCCTTTTGGGGGTTAAATTCAAATTTCCCCCCGGGATCCCCCTCTGTTTTCTATTGGGGGCCCCCCCCCCCCCCGGCATTTTTGCCAGTCTTGGCCAGCACCCACCTCACACCTCTCCATTACATCCCCAGCGGGAATTTGCCGCAGAGGATTATGGGATAGAAGTTCAACGCCGCTCGGTTTCTGCATGCTCATTCTACACACCGGGAAGTAATTCCCTAAGAATTGACTTTCATTTTTGGTCACATGAATCTCACAAGGAAAACCGATTAGCTTGTCTCTGGTGTGCTTATATTCTGACCTGGTGTTTTGTTGACATATATAGTGGAAAAGCGTCGTAATTGAACGGTCTTAATCGTCCTACTATGGCCGGCCAGCTCGCTACTGTTTCTTCGTTTGTCATCTTCCTCTTCCTCTTTTCTGCTCCAAGATCTTCCAGTCCTTCACATGCAGGACCAGTAACCTTTCCGAAAGGAGTTAACGGAGGAGTTTATTGTCTTGCTTGCACGGCGGTTGTGGCACTTACAGAACAGCTGAGCGTTATTCACAATGAGACTTTCGTAAAATCGTACGACCGTTTGTGCAATATTCTCCCTATCTTCTATAGGAATGCTTGCATCGCTTTGGGCCAATTCTATATTCCACTGGTTATCGACCTCCTAACCGATAAAGTGACCGCAGATGTCATTTGCCATGGGACTCATTTGTGTTACGAAGACATAGGTCAGCCATATTGTCATGCTTTTCCACCAAGGGCTGATTTCCAGGAGAAAATTGTTCGTTCAAGAGAAAGAGTAACTGCGAAATTGTTTCAGGGAAGTGCTAGTAAATCTAAAAGCCCGGCGGGTTTCGATCCTTGTGCTCTCGCAGGTGTAAAAGAGCTTTGTAAACTGTTTAAGCGTGTTTTCACTAATGATTTGCCACTTTTTGATTGGGATAATGACACTTATAGTCCATCAGTCGAGTCATGGCGAGGAACATCTTGGAGGGGTCGAGACTGTGATGATAGTAATGCTCTTCATCATCCTGGGGCCAAACCAGAGGATGGCGATGTAGTTTCTGACTCAAACTGTAATGGTATTCATGGCACAGATTCTATTACTGGCAAGTCACTCGAGGACATGTTCTGCAAAGGTTGGTAGTTTTATAGCTACTTACATGAACACAGGGCCGCTTTTTGTGGCCTATGGTATAAAAGGTCTGTAGTAATGAAAGTCTGCAGTTTGCGAGGTGATAATCTCTAATCAGTGGCAATATTTGACTTCCTCACTGCATCTATTAATTTCTGAACAGAAAATGTTGAGCCATAAAATACTTGCTATATTCCTTGGGTGAAATACCAGAATATGCACAACCCATATAGTCCTGATCTTAGCAGTTATTGAATTTGTGTCACTTTCTGTTTTGCTTCTTGTACCCATGTGAATCCTAGCCTGCGTAGTTGCAAGATTGTTATGGCTGGGGTACACACGAAGGGAGCGGTAAGGGAAAATCCCACCTGCCACATTTCTCGTAGGTTTTGAATGCTGCCCACTTTTGTCACCTTGGCTGAAACTATAAAATTAGCCAATCAGGGAGAGCAGGGTAGTACAAAAATGAAAGTGGGCAATGTATACATGTACAAAAGGTGAGAATGCAACATCCGGCAAACAAGCTGTTAAGCACAGGAAGACAAAACATAGAAAGGAATGGTCACATTCACAGACAAAACAGCTACTGTACATGTAGCAAGTTATTCAGCTTCCTGACACTTTGGAGAAGACAAATGAAACTAAAACCAAATAGGCCATTTAAGTGGTCATTTAAATCCTAAACTGCTTCAGAATTCAAATTCTGTCTGAAACAGAAACCACAGGAAACCAGTATACACAGGAAACAAATCAGAATCCTCCACAGCCTAATCCACAGGTCTGCTTTTCTTAGGTGCAAGTTTTCTATACATCTTAAATAGCTCTCTTGAGGACAGAGGTTGAGCATGGATGGATTGTACTGCTTGAGAGGGGGCAATACTGTTTGATGCTCATTACATCTGTGTTGTAGTCTTGAAAGCCAATTTCCTGTCGGAAAAAATTACTATTGTTAGTGTTTTTGAATAAAGGATAGCGGACTAAGCTTTGTCTCAAATTTTAAGGTGTTTTTCCCTCAAAAATGTCTTAAGATGAGTTCATTCACCTCAAATTTCAGATTTTCATTTTGCAAACTACAGATATTAATTACATTTCATTTTGCATGAGGTTTTTGTTATATAATTACTGTGTGGCCTATTGAATATAACCCTTTTAATACTCTAGCTGCCAACAGGCTGGCCTTCAAGTCTGGGTTTGAACTACCAATGTTTACTTGTGTAGTTCTTATATCTTTTCAGATACAGGATATCTTGGTGTGATTGTTCTTGGTGATTCAGCGGCAGCGCATTTTCATATTCCACCTGAGTGGCTAACAGCACGCTTGATTTCAGATAAAGTCTTTAAAAATGTGGCCTTCATAGTAGAAAATGAATTTGACTGGCCTCAGATGTCTCTTTATTCTGGCTACTTAAGGAGATCAAGGTATACTATCAGCAACAGTATTTTTAGTCCAAAGTAGAAAGACAAAGCCTGAGACTTTACCAAGTTTATAATATGCAACTAATTAAGTTTCTGTTAACTCATCAACTTGGTCTCGTATTATATATAAAGTTCAGCACCAAAGATATACCTTTTCAGTCCCATACCCAAATTTGTAGAAACAAAAAAACATTTAGCAATAGAAAGGGAAGTACTTTTACAAAGTGAAATTTTTATACTGAATCATGACAATCTGAGTTTGGTTTGAAAGATTTTTTTTGTTATTGTTTTGCTTTGTTTTGGTGTTATTTTAATGAAAAGATCTTTTACCTCGATACAAGTCAGTTGTCAAAGCTGTCAATCACTTGACAAAAGGCTTGACAGATGCATAATGTTTTTATGGCTTTGAAAAAGTTGAGAAAACATACTGTTTTTGCGCTGTATTCATATTAATTAAAGACGGTGCATTTACAGCCGCTATACTGTAAAAGGGATAAAAAATTGTAAAGTAAGTATTTGAGGGAGGTATGTACCATTTGTCAATAGAAGGTATACGAAAGGGGTACTTTTTCCTCAGATAGGAGCCTCCCCATATAAAATTTTGTTACCGTAAGTAAACCCCTGCAGTTCAGGTATGAATGGGTTAATACATGAATACCGCTATACTTTACAGGTGGCCAATGGACAAAGGCCATGCAAACTCTATTTATCTAAAGTTGTGGGAAAGAAACCACTGTAACCATAGAGACTACCAAAATCTTGGAAAGAATGGGGCAGACTCCTTTGAGGCAAACTCTAAGCTGATCAAGAGCATGGCACGAGACCAGAAGCTTGACCAACCCGCCCTGGTTTTCTACTCCCTTATTGGAAATGATGTGTGCCATGGTGGTCATGATCTTCATAGAATGACAACCCCTGAGGAGATGCATAATAATGTGATGGAAACACTTCAAAGTTTGGACAAACGCCTTCCAAATGGGAGTCATGTTATTATCATTGGTCTTGTTGATGGTCGTATTCTTTATGATAGTCTCCATAATCGTATTCACCCCATTGGCAAACTGCGGGGAGACGTGACCTATGAACAGTTTTATAACTTCATGAACTGTTTACAGATCTCACCCTGCTTTGGGTACATGAATTCTAATGAGACCATCAGAAATGAAACTAGTGAACGTGCTGCTCAGTTGAGTGCAGTATTAAAGAATGTGGCTGAGACAACAAAATTTGAGAATTTTGATGTCTATTTCTTTGATTGCCCGCTGGAACAAGTTATCAAGGTAAACAGGCATAAACAAACTTCTTTTTGTTTTTTTAAAAACACTGCCTTCAAAGTGCCTACTATAGTGATGTCGTAGTTTAATTTTATCCTTGGTTTAAATTTATCATTCATTATTTATTAATCCAATTTAAGGTGTCTTTTTACTTTGCCCTTTGCCATATAATAAAGATAGCAAGTATTTGTACATGCGTGCTGGTGCAATATGACCAATAATCATGATACATAAATTTGTAGAAAATAAAATTAAAAAAATGAGTTTACCATCATATGATCCATTGATGACAATGTATGCATTACAGGTCAAAATTAAAGTCAGGTTAAAATTTTTAACCTGGGTTAATTCTCAATTTCCTTTGTCAGCTCGCAGCCCTAATTATTCATGAATTAGGACCAGGAGACATAGGAAATTGAGAATCAACAAATACATACAAATAACATACACTTTTTCTCCCTTGAAGTCTTGACAAACAATCTTGCTTTAGTTATCTCAGTAAATACATATTTATATATAATCTCTGTTAGGAATGGAAAGCAAAAGGTGGTGAGGTTTATGAGTTGATTGAACAAGTTGATGGATTCCATCCAAACCTGAAGGCAGAGGCACTGGCAGCAGATGCATTGTGGCATACACTGGAATCAAAAATACCACATGTGCTTGGCAAGATCAACCCCTACAATTTTTTAATAGAGACAGTTTTCGGTGATCAAGGAGGTTATTAATTGAAATAGTAAAGTAAGGCATGACAGTGTCAGCATTTTCCTGCATATTGATAGGCTAAGTTGAGCCGTTCTCTTGTCACTAATGTATTTCATTTTTAGATTAAGTTTGTTGCATGTGTACATTTTTGATAGTATTTGCTTATAATTTTATACACACATCAAATTTAGAGGTAAAAAGGTGGGGCCGATAAATTTTGAATTCTCTTTCACAAGTAAGGCAACACTGAGCAAAAAAAAAGCAATAAAAAGATGCAGGAAACTGTGTAACATGTTATGTTCTATTTAATTTAATTTAATGGAACAAACGAGAGATCACCACAGCAA